CTTGATTTATAACCATTCAATTAGTGACCATTCAAAGTTACATGGCATTGAAAAAAGTGATTTATGATCTTGAACTAGCACTTTGCAATCTTTTCCTCAGTTATGTGATCAGAAATCGGGTGCTTGGCAACTAGCATGTATTTACAACATGATTGCAACATCCCAGGGATATGTGGTTTCCATTTGCAATTTCCCTGCCAGCTTCCAACCAGCAAAATCAATGGGGGAAGCTGGATTTGCTTAACGACTGCATGATTTGCTTAACAACCATCATGAAAAAAAAAGATTGTAAAATCATGTGCAATTCATTTAACAACCACCTTGTTTAGCAATGGAAATTGTGGCCCCAATTGTGGTCATAAGTGGAGGATTACTTATACAGTATGTATGCTTGAATCCTGCTATAGCGTTAATTTTATTTTGTTTGCAGAGTATGTGTAAATAGCAAATAGTTCTTCAGATTTATGTTTAAGAATTGGAAAGGACCATTTGGGTCATCAAGTCCAACTCCTGCTCAGTGCAGAAATCCTAACTAAAGCATTCCCAGCAGAGAATTATTTAGCCTCCATCTGAATTCATACAGTGAAGGTGAGTTCACCATTTCACTGGCTAACTGATTTCATAGCAAACTCTTCTTACTGCTGAAAAGGTTTTCCTAGCAGTCTATTAGAGCCTGCCTTCAAATAACTAAAATCCATTATTTTGTACCCTACTGTTAGGAACAATAAAGAATATTAACCAACTGAGCAATGGCCTTTTAAATACTTGAAGGATATTATTCTGATCCTCAATCTTCTCAAGGCTCAATATAGTCAGCTCCTTCAATTTCTCTTTACAGGATTTTTAATTCCCAGCCCCCTCATTATCCCCACTGTCCTTCTCTAAACTTGTTGCAACAGGTTTGAATTAATATTCATGTTTATGGAATAATCCAACGTAATTTCAGTTAAACCAAATAGTTACTTTAGCCATCCACATTTTTGTATCCCTTTGATGTTTAACAATGTACTTGGTATTTGTCACAAGCAGATCTTCCTAAGGTAAGTAAATTATTAGTAACTACATAAATTATTAATCCAAGTAGTCACTACCAAGATCCCTCTCACAGTTACTAACAATTTAGTAATTATTGGTTACTGCGAGAGGGATATTGGAATGCTAGTGGACAGTCACTCAAATATGAGCCAGTAGTGTTCTGCAGCTGCCAAAAAAGCTAACGTAGTCCTAGGTAGATAGAATCAAGATCATGTGAAGTCTTAATAACACTTTATAATACCTTGGTAAGATCACAAAACTGCATCCAGTTTTGGTCACAATATAAAAAAATACGTTGAGATGCTAGAAAAAAGTGCAGAAAAGAGCAACAAAGGTGATTAAGGGGCTGGAGGCTAAAACATATGAAGAACAGTTGCAGGAATTGGGTACGTCTAGTTTAATGAAAAGGACTAGGAGTGACATGATAGCAGAGTTCCAATATTTAAGGGACTGTCACAAAAAAAGTGGGTAAGCTTATTCTCCAAAGCACCAGAAGGCAGAACAGGAAGCAATGGATGGAAACTAATCTAGAGAACCAAACTAGAACTAAGGAGGAATTTCCTGACAGTTAGAACAATTAATCAGTGGAATGAATTGCCTTCAGAAGTCATGGGTGCTCCAATACTGGAAGTTTTTAAGAAGAGATTGGACAACCATTTGTTTGAAATGGTACAGGGTTTACTGCCTGGACTAGAAGACCTCCAAGGTCCCTTCCATTTTATTCTGTTATTATTTTCTTATGTGTCTAATTGTTGCTATTTTTTGTCAGATTTATGTCTTTTTAAAAACACAAATGGCATAAATACAGGTAGTCCTCAACCTACGTCCACAATTGAGCACAAAATTTCCGTTGCTAAGCAAGACATTGTGAAGTGAGTTTTGCCCCATTTTATGAGCTTTCTTGCCACAGCTAAGTGAATCACTATAATTGTTAAATTATTATCATGGCTGTTAAGTGAATCTGGCTTTCCCATTGACTTTCCTTGTAGAAAGGTCATAAAAGGTGATCACATGACCCTGGGACACTGCAACATCATAAATACATGCTAGTTGCCAAGTGTCCAAAATTTGATCATGTGACCATGGGGATGCTGCAATGGACATGTGAAAAACAGTCACTTTTTTCAGTGCTGTTGTAATTTTGAACAATCACCATATGAATGATTGCATGTCAAGGACTACCTGTACCAGCCATTTTTTTCTATAAAGGAGTAGCACTGTTGCCAAGCAATTGCAATTGATACTCACATATAATAGATAGACAAAAGCAACACAGATCTATGTATTTAGAACTTTATTCAAATAGTACTAATAACTTTCAATGGAGTGGCAGAGAAAGAGAGAAAACTATTTTTTTTACTCTTAATCTGGAGACAAATATTCCTTCTTCTTAAAAGAAACTATGTAATTCAGAACTGATAAAACGTATGAATGCTAAATCCCATTAAAATAATTGGACATACAGAGTAATACAAAGGTTTAATGAATTCCACAAGGGAAACAAAATTTTTAAATACCTTCATAAAAAAGTAACTAAAACTCATAGACCAAATCTTTGCCCAGATTATGGGAATTTTGATTTTAATATCCTGATCTCACCAGAATAATCTCAGTCGTCTTCCAGCATTTTAGAATAAATCAGACTGAACAACAAAAAAAATCTTGCTTATGAATTATTTCTTATTACAGAAAAAAGACAGTTATGTAGTTAACTTAGCACATTTGTATTTAATAAAGAAAATACTTTCAATATCAAAGTGACCTGTGTGTGGAAATTATTTTTAAGTTCTTAACATTGTAAACTTATTTGATTGGGTTTTGCTTAGCAGACCCATTGGGCCAAAAGTGTAATCTAAACAACTATGACCAAAAGTCCAAATCCTGTCTTAGAACTAGAATTATAGAGAAATCTAAAATGTAGGCAATATTGTATTGCAGTGTAAGTGCTTGAGACATGCACAGAAATGTAACAAACATTGAAATATGTACCACCTTATATCTCCTGAGAATTCAAGGGGTAATAAGGCTTGAACGTTGACTGGTAGCTTTGGGCCAGTCAGTCTCTCTCAGCTTAGCTCATCTCACATAGCTGTTGTTGTGAGGAAAATAGGAGGAGGAAGGAGTATTAGGTAGGTCCACCATTTTGTGTGACTTATAAAAATAATAAAAGTGGGATAAAAAACACATCTAAAATCTAAAGAACCTATAAAAGACAACTGTGCATCATGCAGTCCCCTTCATATGGAGATATAGGCCACTGAGTAGACTAAAATGTTCATATATTCCACTCCATTTTGTCCAAAGCATGCCTTTGGAAAGCCCACAACACTGGTACAAAAACAATCCCCTATTCTTATCACAGAGTGACCCTGAACCTAGATGTTTGGAAAAGCACCAACTCTTTGTGTTCAGGAAAGCTGCCAAACTCAGATTGTTCTGGAAAGTCTTTGAGGACTGATCCTCAGAAATTCCCTTCCTGCAATGGTGAACATTATTGCCAGTACTATTTTCCTTGGTGTCAGTGGTGATCGTTATTAGATTTACTGTAGTTATTTTCTTTTAATTATTTCTATTTTTGTATCATCTGTAAGCGTCTCAAGAGTTTTTTGAAATTGAGGGGCATATAATTCACAATATATAGATAAGTTAAATATGCTTACACTGTAACAAAGGAAACATTGCTGGTCTAGGGTTCTTTGATTGGAAACTGATTCAGGGTTGCTAAAAAATGACCACTAACTTGAGGGACCCCACAAGTATTTAAGAAAAATCTCAAAGTCTTAGGAATGTTGAGAACAAAGGAGTACCTGAAGAGGAAATATCTGGATTCACATATAATTTCCCTGTACTCTAAGAGGAGGATACATTCTTGCCTAATTCAAGGCCAAGTTTCCTATGGACTGATCTTACTTTGACATACAGTACAGAATAAAAAATACCCAAAGTCAAGCAAACAGTATCTATCTATAAATTAGCCTGGGCTATGGAATGTTGAAGGTATCAATATAAAACAAAAGCAAACAGAGAAGGGGAAAAAATCACTTCCACAGGCAACTGAACACATTTATAGTAGGTTGGGGAAAGAATTAAAGTGTATTTTTAAATCTTATATTTTCAGTGATACCAAAATACCTAAAAACACAGAAGCATATCTCAAAGTACCATAATTTATAAATAGGGAGAAAATGACAGATTCACAGATTTAATCTGATTTTTTAAATGTAATCTAGTTTGAATTTCCATAACATTATTCAGGTCGTAGATCCAAAATGATCAAAGCGCAATTTTCTAGCTGCCCAGCTTGCAGCTATCATTATTGCGTGATTTTTTCTTTGCATTGTTGCAAAGAAGTAAATGTCAGGAAAAAATGGAGGGATACTGCGTGAAATCCCTGTTTTTTTCCTGTCATTTACTTCTTAGTGCTACAGATATTTGCAACAATGCAGAAGTGTATTCGCTTAGAAACTATAGCATCCCGATACCAATTTCACTCTGTAAAATTATAGGAGGGCTATAGTGGACAAAGAGAGCTTACAATAATAAAAATGTAAGACTTAATACTTAATCCTTCCAGAACTATATAGTTGTGTTCAGTTTTCTATGAATGTGGGAGCAGGAAGTTCAAGAGAATTTGCACTTAGAGATAGAACAAACTATCAGAAAATCACAGTTCCAACTAAGAGCTGAGAATATGCTTCTCTTCTATGAAGTCTCTCCTTAATACTCCTCTCCTTCTCATGTCATCTACATTTTATAGCCCAGGAAATTCAAGGTAGGACATTAATTTAGTTTTAGTTGTTTTTAAGGCTATGCACACTTCAAAATGAATAGGAAAAGATGCTTTGATCCTTAAACAAGGTCAGCACCTCTCTGCTCACTCATTACACTAGCTCAATTTTTTTCAACCTTCTACAGAAGCATTTTTGGTCAAGCTTGGATAGAATTCTAAAAAAAAGTGGCTGCTTTAATAAATAGCAAAAGATGATATGTTCATGTGAGTTCCAAAGTACTTCTTCCAAATCCTTACTGAAGCATGCATAGCGCTAAAAAAACAAAACAACAAAAGAGTATATTCCAAATAAACATTTAGGACTAGGAAAGTAATTGCAGCTAATGAACAAGTATTTCCTGAGGGTCCCTATAGATAGACACCTTTCAGAAGTACATACAAAGTTTTTCTCGATATATGCATGTATGTGTATAAACTGTATGTATGTGTGCATATCTTTAGCAAATACACTGTATATGCATGTATATTTCTTCAACAAAAAGAAAAGCGAACGGAGAAGTCAATAATCATGTTCAAATAGCAGGCTCTTCAATTCTTAGTAGATGAAGCGCTCTGAGACATCTGATGGCTGCATCATATAAAGACTTAGCTGACTTGAGCAACTCTGGAAACGGAACGGGCAGAGCTAAGGAAGTTGAACATAGTGGTCACCAGGTCTGGAAGATCATAATCATGTTTCCATTGCCAATCTTGGCGAGCATTGTTGTCATCAAAAACCATTGGCCAACTGTCAGCTTCAACAAAAATAAAGAAAAACATATATATTAAATCAAAAGTAAGGGATTTTGAAAGTCCAACCCAAGAATTTCCCACTTTTTCTCATTTAGGGAGTTTAGAAAACAGCAATTTTCAAACAAAGAAAACAGTTTGAAGAGAGAGGATGCTAAAACTCTTTTCTAAAACACAGTGCAGAAAAAGCAGCTTCTTATGCTTCACAGATTTTTCTCTCACTGGAGATAAAACATATTATTTAAGGTATCTGCATACATATTTAAGAGCTTTTAAAACCCAGTCATTACAATCCCATTTGAAAGTCATCCCTTTATCAGATAGAAAATCCAGCTAAGATTTCAATGCACACTTTGGCACAGATATTGAGCTTATATCTTATATGGATTCCTGAAAATGTATAAAAGGACAAGCTGAACTGTTTCAGTTTGGGATTCATTTTTTTTAAAAATAAATGTGAGGTTTATCTGGTGTTATTAAGCAGCTTAAAGTCTCTGCTAGCCCTAAGCAATGGAATTCCATTCTTATACATTTTGTCAAAAAAAATCTGTCAACAAGTTTGAAAGAACAAAATTGACCTAGCCCATTGTCATTAATTGCTTCATACAGCATTGTAAAAGGCCAAAGCCAGGTACTAACCAATGGCTTGTCTAACAGGATCTACATTGTAGGCAACTTCAAGTTCTGGAATATGCTTCTGGACCTCTTGAACCAGCTCCTCAGGTGAAAAACTCATGGCATTGATGTTGTAAGTCCTCATGCTCAGCTGCTCAGCAGGTGCTTCCATGATCTCCAAAGAAGCTCTAAGACAGTCATCGATATACATCATTGGCAAGCGGGTGTCTGGTTTAAGATTACATTGGAACTTTCCAGTCTTGAGAGCATCGTGAAAAATTTGGACTGCATAATCTGGTAGAAGAAGAAAATATGACAGCATGCCTGGTTCAGATGATATAACACTAGTTGAAACTCCAGTTACATATAAAAAAGCAGGCTATCAATATATGCCAACAAAAGGTAAAATGAAAGGATGCTTAGAAGAGTAAATTAATATGAAAAACACAGAAAGTTTAACAGGAACTGTATTAATTAAAATAGAGGTGAATGTTTCATATACCTTTTAGAGTCCAGAGCCAAACTACATTTATTTATTTATATTATTCATGTAGATTTAAAAGAAAAATGCATAAATGTAGGTTAAGGAAAAGCTGTCATTTAGACCCTGGTCTAGAATAAATTCCTTATCAAAATCTGAGAAACCTGGTAGTTTCAGGGAAGCACCCAGTAACCCTTCCTCAGTCTATGTTTTTTTGCTTCCATCCCCTCTAGTTTACCTGTCAGGACCTAAGGAGCTCTTAGCAAGAGAATGGCCCCTGCATGAAAAATGTACAATCGTAAGCATAAGCAGAACTCCTTGCTTTTCTTGTGGTTCTGCCTTTATATTCATTGGCTAAATTACTCACGAGTTAATATAAAAATGAAAGATTAGACTGCATCAGCTTCCTTACCAGTTGTTCCTCCACCAGGCTGGGAATCTGCTGAGATAACGCCAGGATATCTTAAACACCGGAAATCTAGCCCATACCTATAATGATAGTACTAACATACAAAATTAAAAGGGGGAAAGAAAAAGAAATGAGATGCACCATTAATTGTGATCAGTCCCAAGACAGATCTAGTTACTTGTTGCAAATCAAAGCTTTATGTACTATATTGGTGAGGATGTTTGTTAATATAAAATAGTATGTTTCTAGAGACAACATTCACTGTAAATAATCATATAGTGAACAGCTCAGCTCACATTAAAGCCTACTTGATGTGAATCTTTAGTACCCAAAAGCACCAGAAAAACCTGTTCCTCACTGAAGTTAATTTCCCTGGAGCCATTTGTGGTCATATGAATTGCACATTTTGCTGCTTACTTCTTCAGAAAACCTGTATAAGTTTCCATGGGATCCAAGACCTTAATAAAAAAAGGTCTTGATTTTCATTGATGGGAGCATACATGTAACAGTTAAAATTGCATCTAGAAAGAGGCAGAGACAAATTAAATGAAACCAGATGCATGACAGTAGTGAAGAGAAGGAAGGACAGTTTCTGCCAAAGGGGTAACGGAAGAGAATTGGCCTTGGGGATCAGTAATACTGCACAGGCAGCAATATGATGCCTTCTTGACTGCATTCTGATCTCCAAATTCAAAGAAAAAGTGGAAACTGAAATGGCTTGCCAGAGAAAGATCTTTGGCTTCAAGAAGCCATAGATTCATAGTGATAGGTGAGAAAGACTGCTTCAGTAACACCAGAACATTTCTGTTTCTACCATGAGTCATTCTTTAAAAAAGCTAATTGAAATATAGTAGAATTGTGGCATATGGGTTTTATTTAAGAAAATGAACTGGTTAATGTCCCTGAGATTTTTTTGGCAACATTTGTGGCTAGCCTGGTTTCTTCTTCCTAGGGACTAGAGAGGGACTGGCTCAGGGTCACCCAACAGGCTTTGAGCCTAAGACAGGACTAGATCTTATCGTCCCCTAGTTTCTAGCTTGATGCCTTTAACCATGATACCAAACTGCCCTCAAAATGATCATAGTAAAATAATATTATAGAAAAAATATATTAATACAAAATACAGAATATGTTCCTTCCATTTCTAAAATACATATCTTGTTACAGTAATGCTGATGCATATTTTAGCTGTGTTCATGTGTGCTGAATGTTTAATTCAGTTATTTAAGATGGCAACAAAAATTCAAGTATCTAAAATGGATTTAGCTACCAACCTGTCTTCTGTCTAATGTAACAGAAGACTCATAGCCTGAAACTTCAGTAGGGTATCATTGACATATATTTGCCAAACATTTATGGATTATGTCCAGATGTAAGAAACCCAGCAATTCTCATCTTATGTAGTATGCTGGCTGTTAGCCACTTGAATCTGGACACAATCCAATGATCAACAATCTTGGAAAAACAAATAGTTCTTCAGTATTTATCAGTTTTGCTCAACGGACTATAGTTTTGACACTGTAGTTAATACAAGCATACTACTTAGAAAATCTATTAATTTTCAAGTGTGTGTTGCTATTTGACTTCTCCTGTAACTGAAACATATCTGCAAAGGCTACAGTTAAGAGAATGTCAGTGCAAAAGCAAAATAACAAGCCATAATAAATATTCAATATTTATTTAAGTTATAGTATTAGGCTAATATTTCAATTGTTTAGGGAAAGTCAAAAACCAGTTATAAGAATAAAAAAGAAAGAAAGATGAAACAAAAATTCAGCTACTGGCTTTTATAGCATTTTCTATTATATACCTAAATGTGAAAGAACGAGGTATTCTTACATCAAAATGCTTATCCTTACCTCTCCCATAAGTTCAGCATGAACCTTGGAAACTCCATAGATTGTCCTTGGCCTTTGGATGCAGAGATCAGGGGTTGGATTCCTAGGGGAAGTTGGTCCAAAGGCACCAATTGTGCTAGGAACAAAGAGACGCAAACCATGCTCGGCAGCTATATCAAGAATGTTGTGCAGTCCTGGGAATAGCAAACAAGAGTTTTTAAGCCCAAACCAAAAAAAAGAAAAAAAAGAAAATCAAGACTTCTGTAGTGTGGTAGGTATACCTAAACAAATAACACTAAATGTGTTAAGACATACCAGTAATATTCACAGATCTTGCCAAAGGGACATTAGCTTCTCCAACTGCACTGAGCAAAGCACTGTAATGAAATAGCCAAGTAATCCTGTTGTTTACCACTATCTCACGAAGATTCTTGTAATCCAAAATATCAGAGTAGATAAAAGGACCTAAGTATAAAAAGAAGGTTTAAAATAATCCATGCTGTGCTGAAGATGTCAACAGCTTGTAAATATAGTCAATGACATTTTCAGTTAAAGAAGGAATTTGAAGAAATTTCAAGAATTTCTAATTCCACGTTCTTTATGAATACTGTATTTGCAATACATTAGCATGTACAAATATATACTGTAGGATATGCAAGCGCATGATGTGTGTGTCCACATACTATGGGTTATCCATACAAAGTCACTACAGAATGAACACATTTTAGTTGCAGCAGAGCTTTGATATATTTGGAATGAATTTCATTTTATCTAGGACATATACAAGTTTGAAAACCTATGAATTTCTATTTTACCCAAGATCATAACAAGGCACTTAGTATATATACAGTCAGAACAAGACCCTCTGAAAAAGCTATGCATCAAGACAGTATGAGAGTGAGCTTAAAAACACAGATTTTAGTTAATATAACAATTATGCTTGTTTCAAAGAACAGTTGTTAGTTTAACTTCTTTGCTTCTTGGAGAATTTTACTATGACAGACCATTTATACTGTCTTTAACAGAATTTCAGACACATATTTTAAAAACTGGCACAGCACATCATTTTATAGAGCATATAGCACTTGGGGCAGAGAGCTCATTTCAGTCAGTATAGCAAAGGAGGCATGATCTGGGTTAGCCAAAATTGAAGTTGACATAGCAATTAAAACACTGCTTTAAATATGTATTTCCTGCATGGAATGCCACAACATTTTATTTTACATATCCTTTGTCATATTTAAAACTCAGGCAATGAGTTAGCAACAATCAAATTAGCTTAGGTCAAATTAAATATATTTTCTCTGACATACACACTAATCTCCCATCAATTTCTACAAGGTTTCTGAAGAACTGGAAGAATCCAGTGACACAAACAATATGACAATGATTCAATTGTGTCTCTTCATGCTCTAATGCCTCCAAGCTATAAGCGTACTCTATGATATTGATTTTCTTCTGCACAAAACAAATTAAACAATGCATATAACATTACATTTGCTGTTCTCATTTCTTATGGCTGGATTATCACAAACATCTTTCATTGCGGGCAACATTCACTGCCTGAAAGAGGAGGAAGAACTGTGGAGAAACTTACAAGCTTGAATCATATACTTCAAGGATGATTGTAAGGATTAATATTCAAAAACCCAAGGTTTAACTAAAAGAAAATGTCCTAGTAAAAAAAACCCTACAACTCCTAGAATATAATCACTAAATATTTCTCTCTGTTTCATATAGTACTTACCACTATAGAAGACACTATCAGGGGGCTTTCTAATATCTGACAAAATCACGTTGTTCTTTCCAAAGCGTTTTCTGGAGAAGACACCATAATTAATGTTTCATTTTCATTTTGAACACAGCTTTTAGAGCAAAACTTATTCTAATATATGAGATGCCCTTTTTAATCCATATTTCCTGTACTCTTTAATACTGATGTTTCCAACCACCACCCTATCGCTCTCCAAAATAAGCATAACTAACTAGGCACATTTTCACTTACCATTTTTTATGCTAAACCTATTGTATTATTTTCTCGTTCCACCCCATCTCTTCCCCCCAAAATAGGGTCAAGATAATATATTAGAAAAGCAATGGTTTATCTGTAGCTGCATATCATAGATGCAAGAAAACATTAAAATACAGGAAGACTTATAACCTTAAAAATGAGATAACAGAGTCCTCATTGTTAACAGAAGCAATGAAGGTTATAGCTTACCTTAACAGTTTAGCAAGTCCTACTCCAAGCTGGCCTAGTCCCCCTAAAAAGCAAGAGTATAATGCATGTAAATTATAGTTGGAAATCTTTTTTTTTAACCTTTCATATATAAGGACTATCCAAGAGCAGGAGATGTTGATGTTCCTAGAAAAGTTCACAGAAAAGTTTAATCGACTGATAAGACCGTGGCACTTTTACAGATGTAAATTACTGAAAATGGCTGAACTGAATTACTTTTTTATGCATAAGATGCCTACCAAGGTCATCTGTCTATACTATGATGCAACATTTAGTTCTATAGACATATAGAACGTATCATATATCAGCTTGGGCTGATGGAAACTGAAGTCCGAAATATTTGAACAGCATCAAAATTGGGAAAGAAGATATAAGGATTCCAGTAAATGGAACAAACCCAGAATACAATGTCAAGTGTACAGAAATAGTTATGGAAAGGCAGCTTGAAGGAGATTATTTTAAACATATGTGAAGCCTTGCTACAGGGGCTGTAAATTGTGAGTGATAAGAGTAGTAACCACGTTATAAAAAACAAGCACCCTTATCTTCTAGGTCTCTAGCTATGTGCCATGCAGATAGGAACTAGATAATTTTTTTCCAAAGCCCTGTTGTTATCAGGAATTGCTTTGGGAACAAATCTATTGTTCTTTAATGATGGAATTGCTATAGCCTGGATTAAGAAGAGTTGAACCATGTCATAACAAAATTTGGGCTCCAACCCACACAAAACGTGTTTAAATAGAAATCAAATGAATATCAATTCACATGATCAGATAAAATTAGTAAAAAAGTAAATCAAAACATCTCATATTAACCAATTTCAAAGAAGCATCTAAAATTTGACTGACCTGTAATTAACACCCGTGGATGATCAGTTTCTGAAAAACATACTGAATGAAAGCTGGCATCTGATGGCACTTGCCGGGGTGAAATGCTAAGACATCTAGCTGGCACAAGAGCAACCTGACAACCACAGCCAGGTTTGTTCAACAGATATTTAACAGCACAACTCAAATTCCTGATGGCGGGCATTTTTCAACTGTGCTGGAAAAAAAAAGAAGAAAGTCATTGAGTAGTTGTTTTATCACTGCAAAGTGACCAGTTTGATTTCTGAAGTTCTGGCAAGTTACCAATAAAAGGGATAGAAACAACAGTTCTGTCAGCTGCAACACATAAAATGCTCTTCCCCCATCTGCTTTTATACTACCAAATGCCCTGTACCTGATTGTTAAATATATAATAAAATAAATGGGATGTTGGCATACTCCAAATATAAACTGGCATCTAAAAACCTATTTATTACCTGCAATATCTTTAGGATTCACCAAGTTCTCAACAGGATAATATTTGAGGATATTTAGAAGCTAGTTCTCCTAATAAATGGGAAGGTTATAAGTTGCCATGCCACTCTTGTTATTTTATATGTGTCAACCTCACATTTCCCAAACTTCAGATATGCCTTGCCACAAAAGATTGCCTACTTTTGATGTTAGATTAATCCTTCCCAATTTGAAGCTGTTTAAACACATGCACTAATAATTCCCTTAATGTTTAATTAGACAGCCACTGCTGAGTTGACTGGGGATGGTGGAATTGCCCTCACAGCACATCTGAAAAACAACAGATTTGGAAAGGCTATTGCAGATTAGAGATGAGTAATCCATAGACCTTGAGCCCCTTGATTATCAACCCCACTACATGGCCAAAGCATATAGTGGATTATCCAAGTATAATTGATTCAACAAAGATAGTACTTCCAGTTACCAGCCATATTATGGTATATATAATTGTATTCTGATTATTTACTAAAACCATCTGCAATGATAATTATTTCTACAGAACAGCATTCAATACAGAAAAATGTAGCATGTTCCATAGATAATTTCCATACACTATAGCCATCCTATTAAGACTTCCAAACATTCACATAACTTGAGTGAAAATGTTGCATCAGTTCAAATTATATACATATACATACATACATACATACATACATAAATACATACATATATATATAATATAAAACCAACCCATTAAATTCATATAATCTCTAGTTCAGTATTTCCTCTCCTTGAAATGGAGAGATGCTATAAAAATGCATAATCTTTCAGAAACCACAAACCAAAATTATATCCTGCTATTCAACTCACAGCCAAATTACAGCTTTAGCAGTTTAGTTTTGGTTTCACTATGAGTAAAGTCTAAAAACAGAATATTTCATTATTCAGTTTTAGTGACTAACTATGCCACATCATATCTCTTTAGAATCAAGTCCATTAACAATGTCCTAGCCATTTGTTGTGCTGTCAAGCTAACATAAATGTTAAGTTAATTTATAAACTCGTTATTGATGAAATTATAGTATTTTTCTTCATTCTTTGCAAATGAACAAAAAAACCCTCAAGAAATTATTTTACACTTCAAATATTAGGAAGGCTAATAATCATAATCACAATCATTCAATTTAGAGACTCTACAGCAGTTCACAGGATGACTTACAGTTGACAGGAAAAATAAAAAAACTTAAAAAACCCACAACCAACCACCTTTTAACATTAAATTATAATTTTGGTCAGAATTCATCAAGTTTAGAATATCCCCCTAAAATGAACAAAGTACTTATTAACTTTAATATTAATACAGTGTCTTACAAATCAGTAAAAGAACCAAGCCTAAATTGTTTCAGGAAAATGATCAAAACTCTACTAGATACATTTTCTTTCAGTCTCATTTTACATTATTAGAGATAGAAAAAAATCTGCTTTCAATTCAGTGCAAAAAAAAAAAAAAAGCTGCAAACTTTCCCACTCCCTATGTAAAACAGATGGTGCCAGATAACCAGCTTACCTTCTTTTCTGCAAGTGGTTTTGAAAAGCAAAAGAGGTATATTTATAGGGCACTGCCTCTCTGCTAAGCCAATCAGGTTTCCTGAAGTACTGGGAGTTGTTCACTACATAGAAAAGGGTGTGTTCTGTGCATGTCCTATCAGCAAAAAGTGGAGACACATCATGCTCCTCTTTTTCAATTTCAGAGGACATGACCTCAGACTAGGCAGAAAATGTAAAGAAAACACATCACAGGACTGCTGGGGATGTTTTTTTTGGAAAAGAAATACTGTTGTATTTTGCTTTTCTCTAATCAGGAAAGTTAAATTAACTCTGCACGATTATTATGAAAACTGCAATTACAATATGAGGATAATGTGATTTCAAAGTGCAGTTTAAAATTTATAACCATTTTGTATCGAAAAATATTTCAAAATTTCATTCCTTATGAAACTTGGTCTAATTTGCATAAGAAAATGAGCATCACTAGTGATGCGAATTAGAAAGTTTCCTACAGAAAACATTGGAAAAAATTTCCTTTTAGAAAATAGTTTTCTGTATCACTAGTTATAATCAAGACATATGTTCAAGCCATTTGGGCTATTAGTGCAAATATCTTTTAAATTCAGAAGCATAATAAGCACTCAAATACTATTGCTTTGTAATTTTTTGGATAAAGCATCACCATGTGAAACTAATGGTGTTAATGTGGCTGTTATCATTGGAAGAGGCCCTTTTATTTAAAGTACTATTAGTACAACCCTCAAAGAACACCAAATATCAGATTTGTAGTCAACAGACTTATGTAAGCCTGTGTTATTGGCAGCTAATAAAATATCATACCACCATGTGACAGATTACTAGCATGACAAAATAACCAGAAACACCTGTTCTGTAGGAGAACAAAAAAACATGTCTATATAAATTAGACACTAGTACTTTTTCAGTATCAATAGGACTATTTGTGGAAAGATACTATTAAAAAGAGATGATAAAAATCTTAATAGCTGTGAGGTTTTAGAATAGAAAGTATGAGGCTGTTCAAACACATTAAATAATATTTTTAGAAATCAAGATTAAAATGAATAAATTCTTTAAACATGACAGAACTGTTAGCATTGTAAGCAGTTACTCAAAAGCAGACTTTTTCTCACATTCTACAGAAAAACACTTAATAATGTCACTGGATCATCATACAGTTTCTCATAAAAGCTGCCTCCTCCTTGGACAGAGGTTATAAAGGTTTTGTTTGCAGTAAGGGCAGGCCATTTTTAGCAGAAAGATAATAAAGAGCCCAATTAGGAATATACTGGATTCTTTCAAAATCAAAATTATTACATGTATTATTATAGTTCCAAAACTTTATTACTGTAAGTAATGCGTGAACATAGTGAATTCAATGAAAATTTTCATTTCCTAGTCAGTAAAATGATAAAAAGTCAGATGGTATCATTTCCATTAATAACAGTTGTTTATACAAAGATTCTAAAATCCATTTTGGGGGCAATACACAGGTCACAAAATAATAATCTGTATAGTGTATTACAAGGATTTCAACATTTTTTT